TCACCAGCCTCGTTGCCCTTCTCTGGACACGTTCCAGCACCTCGACGTCCTTCTTGTAGCGAGGGGCCCAAAACTGAACACAGTATTCGAGGTGTGGCCTCACCAGTGCCGAGTACAGGGGCACGATCACTTCCCTGCTCCTGCTGGCCACACTATTTCTGATTGACCCCTAATTAGCCTGAACTCTCATCATTTGGTGTTATGTACTTATTTGGTCATCAATTCAACTATAAAAAAACCACTGCAGAATAGCTGATTGCATTTTCACCACTGATAATGCGCTTTCTCTTACAGAGAGCCAAGCCTCCTAAAGAACAAACAAGTGAAACTTTTGTCTTGGCCCGCAGACAGAAAGAAAAGGAACTCCTCGAATATGCCGATTTCTTGAAGCTGTACAACCAGCAACGCGCCGTCTATGAGTGGCAGCAACGCAGCGAACAAAAATGGCTGCACAGCGTTGTGCGGAGAAAGGTGGATGCGACAGTGCAGGATTATCTGGCAGGGACTGATGAGAGACGGGAGAGGTAGCAAACAAGTAGCTAATACCAATATCTGCCCTACTGTTTTCAACTTAACTCTATGCTTAGAGGAATGATCGGGGGAAAAACACTCAGTTGAGCTCAGCTCTGTACGTTACGCTGCGCGTTGCAGCGTGGTATTCGTTATTCATCGTAACCGAAAGCATAGGCGTGCTTAACTGCCGGTCAAGCAGCAACGCTGAGCCAACGGTAGCCTTTGGGCTCTTGTTGCTAGTACTAGCCACTGAGCCAATCACTAGAGATACGTATTCAAACACAGTAACTAGTATTCAAACACAGTAACTAGTACAGTTTAGGTGGCATTTAGAGCCTTGTCTGTCAAGTGCGAGATAAAAGTAGTAGTACAGCGCTTTTTTCTTGATTTTTTTTTTTTAAGAGAACGAAGAGTACTCTGATAAAAGTGTCAGAAGCTCTAATTGTTGGGTGTAACTGAGGGTTTTGTTGCAACCTCGTTAAGTTAACGTTTGGGTCCTACAAGTAATACTTTGCAGCACAGGCAGTTGAAAGAAATGAAAATTTGTCAGAAGCCTGCCAAAAATAGTAAAGGTGAGGCTTATTGCTCTCTTATAAAGAGGAGAATTGTGCTGTGTTGTTCTTAGGAAGAAAAAAAAAAGTCATACGGTTTAATTTCTCAGTTCCACTTTTCTTTAAAGTGACTTTGGAGCTGTGAAAGTCATCGGTTTGGTGTCCCGGTCTGATGTGTCTTCATAGGACAGGAGTTGTACATCAATTGCACAGGATCACTGAGGTTGGAAGGAACCTCCTGATATCGAGTTCAAGCCCCTTGCTCAAGCAGGCTCACCTAGAGCAGGCTGCCCAGGACTCTGTCGAGTTTTGCTTATCTCCACACATGGAGACTCCACCACCTCTGTGGGCAATCTGTTCTGGTATTTGATCACCCTCACAGCAAAGAAAAAAAAAGTGTTTTCTTGTGTTCAGGTGGAATTTCACATGTTTTAATTTGTGCCCATTGCCTCTTGTCCTGTCCCTGGGTGCTACTGAGAAGAAGCTTCTCCCATTTCTGCATTTCCTCCTTCAGGTATCTATACACATTGTAAGATCTCCCTGAACCTTCTCTTCTCCAGGCTGAACCATCCCAGCTCTCTCAGGAGAGAGAGGACTTTAGGAGAGATTCTCCTTATAGGAGAGATGCTCCAGTCCCTTAATCATCTTCGTGGCCCTTCCACTAAGTCTGTATCTTTCTTGTACTGGGGAGCCCAGAGCTGGACCCAGCACTCCGGGTGAGATCTCCTCAGAGCTGAGAGGAAGGATCACCTCCCTTGACCTGCTGGCAGTGCTCTTCCTCACGCAGCCCAAGATGCTGCTGGCCTTCTTTGCCGCAAGGGTGCGTTGCTGGCTTATGTTCAGCTTGTCTGCCAGGATCACCCCCCCCCGGGTCCTTTTCTGCAGAGCCGCTTTCCAGCCAGACGGCCGCCAGCGTGTACCAATGCATGGGGTAATTCCTCCCCAGGTGCAGGATTTTTGTTGAACGTCAGGGGGTTTTGTGTTTATTTAGCTGCTTAAGATCCCCATGCTGTCTTAGCAGGGAGACTCGGCTCGGTACATGGTGAAGAGAGTGCAATTCAGTTTCCAGAATTAGTAGGTCTTCGGCTTTGCTCCTGTAACTCCCACCAGCGGTGCCAGCGTAGGTCCGTGGCACTGTTGCTCACGCAGTAGCAGGGGCATCCCATTGCGTGAAAGTGAGAGTGACTTCCCAGAGGCCGCTGTGGCATTAGGGCTGGAATTAGTGAGTCTCTGGATTCCTTAGCCCCAGGTTTCTTACTGCTAGGATTAATAGAGAGGTAAAGGGTGGTGTGTTTAAAAATTGCCAATTTGACATAATTTTCTCGTCAAAGATCTTTCAGGATGAAGTGGCTTATGGAGTGATGCTAAAATAACAGAAGGCAGTTTGAGAGAAGATACAATTATAGCTGCATAGAGAAGGGGGGGTAAATACCAGGGAGGGATTACGCTGAAGGATAACAATAGGTCAAGATCAAATGGATATCAGCTGGTGACAAATGTAGTCTGGAAATTAGAAGAATTTGTTTAATGGGGGACTGAAGTTGTTAAGCAGCATTGGAAACGGATTTGTAAGATAAGGAGCTTAAATTGTGCCAGGACAGAATCACTCATGTTGTGCTGTAAGATCCCCTCCGTGGGCACAACAGGAGCGATCCCCAAGTTAAAATTTGATGTTCCCTTGGTTGTTCCTTTCTTTGGCATTTGCAAGAAGTGGTGAAAGGAGCCCAGTACCCGTTTTGCACTCATAACAAATAAACTCGAACTTCATCATTCAACAGAAGGATTGTTTTAGCTTTTATTTAAATGTTTTCATTACAGGCTTCGTGAGCTTCTGGAGGCAGAGGAAAGTAGGTACTTAGCTGAGATGGAGTCACGTAAAGAAACGGTACTGGAGAAACAAGAGAAAATGAGGGAGCAAGCAAAATTACTGGAAGAGAAGAGAGAAAAAGAAAGACAACAGCTGGTGGCTGAAAAACGAGAGCAGCAATTCAGGTATCTTACAAAATGTAATTTGGGTGAAGTAAATACAAAGAGGCAATTTAACAAGAAGGTGGCAATAATAAACTGAGGAAGGAAAGATGAATGTGATTGAAATGATAAAACAAACAAACAAAAAAGGTGGTTTGGATAGAGGCGTATGAGCTTTGCCAGAAGTTGAAAGGCCTCAGCTACGTTGCATGCAGTGGAGCAGGGTATAGTGTTTTTCTGACTTTCGATGAAGGGGTGAATTTCAACCAGGGATCCAAATTTGCAATGCTGTAATGCTTGGTGAAGTGCGTGAGAAAAATTTTCATTAATAGAGGTGAAGGCAACAGGTACAGAGAACTGCACTGCCTCCATTAGCTGATTTAAGTGCTGAGATACCATGAAAACATTCTTCCAAGTGGAGCGCGAAACTCCTTGTCCTGCATGAGCATCCCTGCGCTTTCACCTGCCGAGTCAGCTGTTTTTGTAATTCTTTGTTCTGGCGTATAGTTCTATGTCAGCTTTATACTATTGGAGTGAAAAGGGTTCATGGAAGGTTAATTTGGCCTAAATCATGCTTATTAAGCTAATACATGAAAGATCCTTGAAAAGTTAAGATTGTCCAAAAAGTCAGTGTTTTTATTTATTGCGTACTTTTCAAGAGTACCAGCCAAAGCTAAGGTTTTAATGCAGCCTGAAGTTCTGTGCCAGGTCTTCCTAGATACGGAGCTTGTCAGTGTCTTTTGAAGTCATTAAGATTTGCAGGTGCTTGTCAAGCCCTGAGGCCTTGGCATGCAATCTGACTTGTTCAATTCTTGGAAACCTGGTTTTCTGAGGAAGGGATGAAAATGACATTAATGTAATTCAATTGTAATCATTTGAAGTGTCTCTTCCCAGCCTCCCACAGTGCTGTGGAAACCCACAACACCTGCTTCTCAGCGTGCAGAGGCTGGGGATAAAAATCAACACTTGCTTTCACTTGTGCATAAACTCTAATTAACTGCTTTCACAGATAAATGTGGGGTTTATTGACTGAGACAGGTGTTAAGGCAGTGCATGCACTTCTAAATTCACATGCTGGCTTTAAAATATGGCCCTCCAATTTACAGTTCCTAGTTTGTTCTCTACCCTTCATGCAAAGCGGTTGAAATTCATGTCCAAAATTGTTTAGAGGAGACACTGCTGGAGTGCCTTTTATTTTGTACTTGTAGCTTGTCTTACACGCTAAGGAGAAGGGATTCGGCTTGCGGTTTAGACGCCTAAAGGTAGGTGTCTAAGCGTTGGTATCTTTATATTCACTGGGAATCTGAAATCGTGTTCTGCTCAGTAGATCTTCATTGAGGTCAGGACAGTTAAAGGAACCTAATGTCATCCTCAAGTAGGCATATACTGGTCTGCCAGTTGAACTGTACCCTAGCCTCCACTGACTGCATTAATTAGGTTCTCATTAATTAGAATGGGAATTTAGCTCACATGTGGATTCCTGTTCGGATGCCTAATTTTAGATATTTTAATTGCAAAATGAATCCCACCAGTGAATCTTATCATCTGGTGGTACATACTTGGACTTTCATGCTGCAGTTGCCTGTCTTAATGTCTCAGGTCCTCTTTTTTCCCAGTACAACCCTATTGAGATTTGGTTCGCTCAGTCTCACGGGACCATTCTCATCATCCTTCTACCTTTCCCAGTCTGCTTTTGGATCTAGGCAATGTTCATACCACTGGAGCTTTACTGGTGGCGTTCTGCTGGCTGCAGTTCTTCAGAGGATTTAGAGGCAGTGGAATCATCTTTCTTCACAGCTGTTGTGAGTGGCAATCTTTGAGTATCTTTGCAAATGAATCTTCATCCTACAGTGCACAGAGTCTTTCTCTTTGAGTATCCTGATGTAATGGAAATACATTTCCATAGTCAGTTCTTCCCTCTGTTCCTCTAGCTCTGTCTCTTCCTACTTTTAAATTAAGGTCCCTATAAAAAACCCAAAACTTTAATAACACCAGCTGACAACAGTTCACCTTGTCTGTTGATCTCTCCTTCGAAAGACAGATATCTTACTTCATCTATATGCTTAGTAATATTTTAAAATCTTTTCTTCTCTGTCCTTCTCCAATGACAAAGGAAGTCTTTACTGTGGCGATCGATTCTGATCAGATTAGTAACTTCTAATATCTGAATCTGCATGTATTGGTCTTTAAGTAGCCCCAAATCTTTTCCTCCCCCCACTGTTAGCTGTTACTCTTCCTCCTAAACCATCCTGCTCCGTGCAGAGATCTGGGAGGAGGTTTTGCTGCTCAGGAAACCAACAATTATTGAAGATCCACAACCGGAAATCTGTAATTGTGTCACAACCTGCCCTCTTGGGCAGTGGTCTCCAAACCTTTTTGATTGCACACCCCATCAGTAAAAAAAATTTTAGCAATTTTAAATATGTTTACTTATTTATAAATTATATATTGTACTACTGTACTAGTATATTAGGTACATTATAAAGCAGTTGCAAAAATAGAAATTAAAAGAGGGTGAGGTAAAGATGAAATAAATAACATGAAAAATAAAAATAGTGTTTATTAATGGTACAAAACGTATTTTCTTCCCGCGCCCCAATGGATTGTCTTGCACACCCCACTTTGGAGACCGTTGCTCTAGGGCACACCCAGAGGAGCCCTGGGAGGTCCTTTCAGTAACAGGTGGATATGCACATGATTTTCTCTTTGCCTGTGAGTTTACAACCATTGTGAATGTCTTTCTGAAACCTAATACAGACTTCTTTATATTTCTTTTAACTTTAAGCAAGACGCTCCACTCTTTTGCAGGTATCGATTCTCAAACCTGAGGTAGAGGAGCACCTATAGCGCACAGCGCTCCAGTACGCTATTCCAGAGCACTAAAAGGCAGCTCTTTTATCGGCCATGCGGGCTGGGTTTGGAGCTGTAGCCTGAGGGTATAGATTTAACAGCTTCTCAGTAGTGATGTTAGCCAGGAACAGTCCTTCGTTGCAAGGTGACAGAGGGCACGGTCCTCGGACCACCGGAGCCCTGCTGGAATTCATTTTCATGAAGGGCTACAACTTGTATGAAAGCCAGTTCTAGCCTGAGGGCGCGTTCGTCATTGGTGTCTTTAAAGAAAATTGCAATGTCTTAAAATTTGCATAAACCACATATTACATCCTCTTTCTTGTGATAACATCAGAAGCATCCATACAGAGGATGTTGTTATCACAGCAGCTTTGTACTGCAGCCGTAAAATGAATGAATAACTGTTGGGGGATGGGGAATAAATGCCGTTTCTGTCTTTGGGAAGTGGCTACATACAGGCACAATTTTGATGTTAAGAAGCTTAGGATAGCAAAGTGAGGAAGAAAAACAGCCATCTGGGGGAGCAGATGTTTATAGGTTGCTGTAAAAGCTGCTTTGAAGGAATTATTTTGATGAAATCAAGCAATTACAGGGTTATTTTCTATTAAAATTCTAACCATGCCAAACTTTTATTTAACTTCTCTTCCCCTCTGAGAATTCAATTAAATTCAGATTAGTTTATAATCACGAAAAAGAATAACTAAGTCTTTATTCCTTCTCTGCTGAGAGAACTTTGAACCCATTGTGTTAAGGTAATACAGTTATTTCTAATGGTGTAAGATTTCAAATCTTAATAGTGGCAAGTTTCCCTCAAAACATTTGAGAAATATGTTTTTTCGTGAACACTAAATTAGTACTGTAGTCTTTAATCACCACTAACTCCTACCCAGGAGTTGGAAGATAGATCCCCGTGTTAAAATGTAAGAAAACCGGCGATGACATAGTATGTTTGACCTGCTCGAAGGCAGGGGCATCTCTTGGAGTGTGCCGTGGCTCACGGCATCCACGTCGCTGTGCTGCTCTCTGCTTTTGTCGTTGGGACAACCAGTGAATGAGTGGTCAGAAGGTTCCCGTCTCATACAAGGAAGTGAAACAGCCATCCCTTTTCACTAGCCTGCGCTGGCGTCTGCCCCTTCGTTCCTGTGTTTACTCGCCCTTCTCTTCTGAAGACCTGACCTGAGGATTGTTCCTCGTTCCAGGGACGGTTTCTCCTTTAGAGGATACAAGCCCAACTCTCAGGGAAGAGCGCAACATTTGGTTAGGGGATGTGGCGTGTCCTAGGATTGGGGGAGAAAAGTGCTAAGTGTGGGAGGTTTTTTCTTAGGGAGACTTGATGTTGATGAAAGGGGACTTGGCAGATTACTGTTGTTTCTTCTCAGTCAGGAACGGTTAAGAGGCTAGAAATGCCTTCTGGGTATCAAGTAAAATGAGAATTTTGTTTTCATGGCACTGCTTTCCCTTTTATCATTTGTGTATAGCGCTTAGCACCTTTCACCACTGCCTCCATGGCATTAGGTGCTTTACAAGTAGAGGATGAAGAGAGAGATGCCCTTGGCCCCGGAAGCTTACAGCTGATATGTGAGGCAGCAAACAGTGAATGCCGACAGGAAGAAAATGTGGCGAGACCTCTGCTTCTGCATGGAATTCCAGGTCAAGCATTGTGTTCTTTGGCTGTATCTCACTCCTGCAGCACCAAGGGAGAGTGAGGTGTAGCAATCCTTCCCCTCTGTAGTCACAGCTCTGGTTTTGCACCGCTCCACTGTAAGTTTGGCTGGTTGGATGGCTCTCGCTGTGGCACTGAGATCAGGGTCAGGCTGGCTTTCGGCACTGTCACTTTTTCTGTCTGTCAGCAGCTTGTTCAGCTGGTTCTGAACTGGAGGAGGGCTATTTGGGGAAATGCTCTTTGTGGTTTATAAGCCCTAAGTAATTTTTATTAGGCTGGCTTAGCATGGAGTTTTATTGGTAAAGCTTTGGAAGATCTTGTAAGCCAACACATAATTATTACATGCTGGTAGTTGCCTCAGCCACATATTAATGATACCAGGAGCTGTGCTCGTTCTGGGCTTGTTAGCGGGAGGTGATGAAGGAGTGCCACTATTCTAGAGCATAATCTTACTAGTTTTAGGGCAGAAATGAGTTATAGACCGTCAGTCACATCCTCTGTTGCTAA